GAGCGGCCACTGCACTCTGGTCTGGGTGACAGAGTGAGACTCCAACTCAAAAAAAAATAATAATAATAATCTATCCTGCCAGGCATGGTGGCTCACATCTGTAATCCCAGCACTTTGGGAGATGGAGGTGAGAGGATTGCCTGAGTCCATAGGTTTGAGACCATCCTGAGCAACTTGGTGAGACCTTGTCTCTATAATAAGTAAAAAAAGTGACTGGAAGCCGGGCTCGGTGGCTCAGCCTGTAATCCCGCGCCTTTGGGAGGCTGAGGTGAGTGGATTGCCTGAGCCCGCGGGTTCGAGACCCGCCAGGGCAACTTGGCGAGACCTCATTCTTGCAATAAATCAAAAGTTAGCCAGGTATGGTAACACGCACCTGTAGTTCCAGCTACTTGGAAGGTTGAGGCAGAAGGATCAATGGAGCCCAGCAGGTGGAGGCTGCGGTGGCCGGGAGCGGCCACTGCACTCTGGTCTGGGTGACAGAGTGAGACTCCAACTCAAAAAAAAAAAAAAGTGACTGGATTTGGTGGCTCAACCCATAATCCCAGCTCTTTGGGAGGCCAAGGCGAGTGGATTGCCTGAGCCCGCAGGTTCGAGACCCACCCAGGCAACTTGGCGACCCTGTCTCTGCAATAAATCAAAAACTAGCTGGGCATGGTAGCACGCGCCTGTAGTTCCAGCTACTGGGAGGGCTGAGGCAGAAAGATCACTGGAGCCCAGCAGGTTGAGGTTGCGGTGGCTGGGAGCATGCTACTGCTCTCCAGTCTGGGCAACAGAGTGAGACTCCAACTCAAAAAAATTTTTAAAAATTAACCAGGCCTGTGGTTCCAACTTGGAAGGCTAAGGTAGAAAGATCATCTGGGTGTGCAGGAGAGGCTGCGGTGGCTGTGAGCGTGCCACTCCACTCCAGCCTGGGTGACAGAGTGAGAATCCTACTCAAAAGAAAAAAAAAAAAGAAAAAGAAATGATCTATCTTACTGACAGCTGCTTTGTGTTGCACACTCAAAAACTGCTTGAGCTGGGCACCATTAACCCATTTTACATACCAGGGAACTGAGGCTCACAGAGGTTAAGTAACGCATAAAGTCCCACAGCCACTAAGTGGCAGAGCTGGGACTTGAACTGCGTCCTGAAACCTGAGCACTACTTCCTGTAGCACACTCTGCTGTCACAGGAGAGCATTTGTATCACAGCTAAACCTTAGTCTGTCACCCATTCCTGGGAGATGTGGCCGCTGAGGCCCTTTCCCTCCACAAGGCCTTGCCCAGATAGGCAGTGGCCCTCTTGCAAGGTTCACCCGCCTGGTATTGATTAGCTCCTCCCCACCCCCATCCCCATCTGCACACTTGTCTCTGAGGAGGGCAGCATGTCAGATGTGTGCCCCTGGCCCCATGTTGAGTGTGGAACAAAGAGGAGGGAGCCCATGTGCCATCTTAGGAACCTCAAGTTCTTTGCGAGTGTCAGAGCTACCCAGACACGATGTGTTGTTGAGAGAATGATCTCATTTAAGGAGGAGACAGAGGCTCCAGGGCTTACAGCTAGTGAAGGGGGTGAAGGGCTTCAGCCGAAGCCAGCCTGTCCCTTGCCCCATGCTCTACTAGCTCTGGGTCTGCCTCTGCTGTGTGCCAGACTCTTAAGGAAGCCTGAGTGTCTTGAGCTTTGGCACTCACGTCTGGTGCTGGGTGTGCAGCAGGTACTCGACGGGAAGTGCTGCTGAATTCCAACCATAAAAGTCTACCTGGAGCCAGGCTCAGTGGCTCGGCCTGTAATACCACGCCTTGGGAGGCTGAGGTGAGTGGATTGCCTGAGCCCGTGGGTTCGAGACCCGCCTGGGCAACTTGACGAGACCTCATCTCTACAATAAATCAAACAAAAAAAAAAAGTAGCCGGGCATGGTAGCGTGCGCCTGTAGTTCCAGCTACTTGGAAGGCTGAGGCAGAAGGATCGCCGGAGCCCAGCAGGTCAAGGCTGTGGTGGCCGGGAGCAGCCACTGCACTCCAGTCTGGGCAACAGAGTGAGACTCCGACTCACAAAAAAAAAAAGTCTACCTGGACTCTTCTAGAAACTAGCCTCTGGCATCCCTCCCTGATGGGAGCGCACAGAAAAAGTAGACAGAGACAGGCCCTGGGGAAAGGCAGAGGGATGAGACTGGGAAGTTTTGGGGGAGCTTGAACAGGGCAGAGGGCCTCCCAGGGAGTCCCCAAATTCTGACGATTCTGGGTTAGACACCATCCACACACACACCCCTGCACCTGGGCATTGGCTGGTCTGACTGCCAACACCCAACACCTGCTCTGCCGAAGGCTCTTCTGAGGTGGGAGCACCAAGCTGTGTGTCTCTTCTCAAGCAGGTGTGGCAGCAGATGCTGAGTCTGGGGCTCAAGCCAAGCCGGCACAGCTACAACCTGATGTTGGGGGCAGCTCGGGACTGTGGCCTGGGGGATCCCCAGGTGGCCTCAGAGCTGCTCCTGAGGCCCAGGGAGGAGGCAGTCCTGCTTCAGTCCCCAGCAGGCAGGCGGCGGGCAAGGAGAACAGCCCAGACTGGGGCCAGTGACTGCATGTTGGCCAGGCTGCACGTGGAGGCCCTGGAGAGGCAGTTGTTTCTGGGACCTTCTCAGGCACTTGAGGGGCATCCAGAGCCTCGAGAAGCCAGAGTGCCCATCAAGGACCAGCCTGAAGTGGAAACTGAGGCTGAGCCCAACCATTCAGTGGCCTTCACCCCAGTGGCCCTGAAGCCACCTTCGTTGGAGCTGGAGGTCAACCTCCTGACCCTTGGGACTGTACCCCCGGCTGTGATCTCCTTTGGGATGGTGACCACTCCAGCTGACAGGCTGGCCTTGATGGGGGGCCTGGAGGGCTTCCTGGGCAGGATGGCAGAGCACAGACTCCAGCCCGACATCAGGACCCTCACCCTGCTCGCTGAGGTAGTGGAGCCCGCGAGCCCTGCAGAGGCCTCGTTGCTGACCATCCTGGACAAACACCAGGTGGAGGCCGATGTGACGTTTTTCAACACGCTTGTGAGAAAAAAGAGCAAGCTGGGAGACCTGGAGGGAGCAAAGGTAAGGGGCTGGAGACAGGCACTCCTGGATCCCCTGTTGAGGGCCTGACCCTGGGTGAGGTGCCAGGAGTCGAGCAGTGAACAAGCCAGACACACTCCCTGCCCTTCATGGAGCCCAGATTGGTGGGGAAGGTGGACCCCAAACATGTTATGCTGACCAGGGGGCACAGGTGCTACAGGAAGGGCAGGAATCTGAAGGGCATTCCTGGAGAAGGGACAGCATGCTGTAGACGGGCAGGCTGGAAGTCCAGAGCATCTGCAGAGAAGTTCCATTCTGGGGAGCTGGGTCCAAAGGGATAGGCTGGATGGGACTTGAGGCCTGAGTACCGGACTGAGGCCTCTGGGCAGAGTTGTATCCCTGAAGTTTCAGTGCCCGGCCCAGGGCTTCACCAGAGAAGGCTCTTGCCAGCACCAGTGGGTTACAGGTTACAGCAACTCCATGTTTATCCTCACAGGCACTGTTGCTACTCCTGGCAAAGAGGGGGATCGTCCCCAATCTGCAGACCTTCTGTAACCTAGCCATTGGGTGTTGCAGGCCAAAGGATGGTCTGCAACTGCTCGCAGACTTGAAGGTGAGTGGACTCAGGCCTGGGCAGGACGCCCATGGTGCTGAGGAGTACTCTGGGGTACTCAGGAAGAAAGTTGGCAGGGAAGAGGGGCTGTGCCAGGCCCCAGGCCCTATTCCTAGATGGGATAAACTGTGTGTTGGCAGAAGGGAGTGGTGTCAATGAGCTTCCAGTACAGAATGGTCATCTGCGTTTGAGAGAAAGCTGTTGGGATGGGCGTGGAGAGCCATGGGTGTTCCCTTCTCTTTTTTTTTTGAGTTAGAGTCTCACTCTGTCACCCAGGCTGGAGTGCTTTGGCACGTTCACGGCCACTGCAGCCTCGACCTGCTGGGCTCAGGTGATCCTTCAGCTTTGACCGTCCAAGTAGCTGGAACCACAGACACACTCTACCATGCCCGGCTAATTTTTTGATTTGTTGTAGAGATGAGGTCTCGCCAAGTTGCCCAGGCTGGTATCCAACCCATGGGCTCAGGCAATCTTCTCATCTAGGCCTCCCAAATTGCTGGGATTATAGGCGTGAGCCACCGCGCCTGGCCTGTGTTCCCCTCTTGAAGGTGGCAGTGCGGTGACACTGAGAGGTAGGGATGGGCCTTGGCCCCACACTCCAGAGCGATGGAGGATATAACTTGGAACAGGGATTATCTGAATTCCTGGGGGGCAGTTTTTAAAGCCTCCAAGTATTTCTGTTTCGCATCCCACCTAAGTCCCATTGAGACTTTGCTGAGTGGATTTCATCCAACCGCAGCAGAGGCCACTTCCTGGGAGCAGGTTCTTGGTGTGCCCCACATTCAGTGTTTTCTTGTGGTTTCCCTGGACCCTGCCGGGCTCACCTAGCCAATGCTGGCTGCTTTTCTAGGTTGACCACCACCTTTTGGTGACTGTATGTCAACTCATAGCCTAGAATGAGAAGGTGGTATCTCCCCTCATCGTTTTCCACTCTTGCGGATTGTCATTTGGTCTTTGAGAACAGAATGGGCTTCCCTCTCCAGCTTCTTCAGGGCTGAGGGAGAGTCCGGGCACTTACTCTTCTGCTGGAGGGGACAGTACAGCCCATCGACTCTTCTGCTGGAGGGGACAGTACAGCCCATCGTTTCTACTAGGTTCTGCCTTCCTGTCCTCGGTCGCTGGTTTTCAGACCAGGCATGACAGGCAGGATGACTTCACTGTGTCCCTTCAACTGCCATCATTTTGCTGACTATATGATGTACACGTTTCAGAAGTCCCAGGTGACTCCCAACATCCACATCTACAGCACCCTTATCAATGCGGCCCTCAAGAAGCTAGACTACACCTATCTTATCAACATCCTGAAGGACATGAGGCAGAACAGGGTCCCGGCGAACGAAGTGGTCATCCGCCAACTGGAGTTTGCAGCTGAGTACCCTCCTACGTTTGACCGGGTATGTGTTCCAAGCTCAAAAATCCTATGGGTTTCTTACCATCTCCACTGCCCACGAGTCCCTGTCTGCGTGCCTCAGTTAATGTCTCGGGCCAGTCTTGCCTTTGTTGACTGACAGTCCCACTGGCCTTCTGATGTTTCCTAGATGCCTCCAGCCTCTTCCCCACCTCAGGGCATTGGTGTTCCCTCTGCCTCAAGTAGGCACTTTCTGCTCGTCTTCCTCCTGTAGGTCTCTTAAATGGCTCTTCAAGATGTTCTGCTGGCTGCCTCCCCACCTGCTGTGAAAGTCTCCCCTCCCCACTGCATACAACCCCATTCCTTTATGCCATGTCCTAGTCTGTAACCATGGGTTCACACGTGTTCATTGAATCACAGGCTTCTAGAGGTGGAGGCTGTCTGCCTTGTCACCTGGGTCCTTGGTGCCTGCAGGGTGCTTGGTGCTTAACAGATTTGTTTGTTCTGTGGAGGGGCAGCAGTAGGGTAGTGATGGAATTGGCCTCATAGTGGCTGCATAGTCTCTCCCTACTGTTTGAGGGTATCAGGCTCTGGGTGTTTGGTTTTTGGGTCTGAGCATCTCCAGGGCATCCAGAGCGACCACGTCCGGAGCACAACCCAGATGGGGAGGGAGACAGGGAAATCAGCAAGGACACACAAAGCCACGGGGCACAGGGTCAGGATGCCATGCAGGTGCCACACTTGAGTGCCATTTTGAAGATTTTGCAGGAATGAGTGGGACAGGAATTGTTATTTATATATTGTATTCACAGGCCTTTTGGTTTTTTTTTTTTGAGTTGGAGTCTCACTTGGTCGCCCAGACTGGAGTGGAGCGGCCGCTCCCGGCCACCGCAGCCTCGACCTGCTGGGCTCCGGTGATCCTTCCACCTCAGCCTTCCCAGTAGCCGTAATTACAGGCGCGCTCTACCACGCCCGGCTAATTATTTATTGTAGAGATTCTCGTGCTCTACCATGCCCGGCTAATTATTTATTGTAGAGATGAGGTCTCGCCTGCCCAGGCGAGTCTCGAACCCGCGGGCTCAGGCAATCCACTCACCTCAGCCTCCCAAAGGTGCAGGATTACAGGCTGAGCCACCGAGCCCGGCTGGGCCTTTTGTTTATTACGTATCTTCTAGTTTGTGGATTGTCTCTTCACTCTTACAAGATACCATAGGGCTGAGGCTTTTTATTTTTTTTTTTTAAGTTGGGGGTCTTACTCTGTTGCCTAGGTTGGAGTGCAGTGGCATGAGCATGACAATCACAGTTCACGGCAGCCTCAACCTCATGGGCTCAGGCAATTCTTTCGCCTCAGCCCCCTGCGTAGCTGGGACTACAGGCTAGCATCACCACACCCAGCTGATTTTTAAATTTCACTTTAGAGGTGTTTCGCTCTGCTGCCCAGAGGCTGGTCTTGAACTCCTTGATTCAAGCAATCCACCTGCCTTGGCCTCTCAAAGTGCTGGGGTTACAGGTGAGCCACCATGCCCAGCCCTTATTGTATTCAAATCATATACCGAAGTTCCTGACTTAGATCGTTTGACTTGATTTTTCAACCTTATGATAGGTTTATCACGATATAACTCTGTAAGTTGAGGAGCTCCTTATGACTTATAATGTAGTAAACTTAGGCTGGGCATGGTGGCTCATACTTTTAATTCCAGCACTTTGGGAGGTCAAGGCAGGATGCTTGAGGCTAGGGGTTCAAGACCAGCTTGGGCAAAAGAGTGAGACCCTCATGTCTACAGAAGAATAAAATTTTAAAAATAATGTGGTAAACTTGAATGCAAATGCATATCACTTTCACACCATTGTAAAGTTAAACCATTATTAAGTCGGTGACCATCTGCTGTGTTGCCAGCAGTAAATGCATTTTCAGGCAGAACCCTATCAAGGACTATCTATGCTCACTCCCTTGTGATGGTGGACTTATTTATATTTCTATTTGTGATTTTGTCAAGTTTTGCTAATTTTTTTCTGTAGAGATAGAGTCTATGTTGCCCGGGCTGGTCTCAAACTCCTGGCCTCAAGTAAACCTCATGCCTTAGCCTCCCAGTGTTTCTTCCTATATATTCTCCTACCAGCTTTCTTTTGTTTTCTGCCTGGAATATCATGTTTCTCCTTTTCTTCCCACCTCTCCGTGGAGACTGCTGCAACAGTGCCAAGATGATAGAGGAAGGTAGTGGCTGTGCTGAGGGGAGGTGCTCAGCAGACTGTGGCAGCAGAGATGGTGGGGCCCAGGGATTCTAGCTTGGGGAGCTGAGACAACATCCTAGGTAGGGGGTACAGCAACATGTATTTAGAAGAAAGATGACTGTCAAGCAGGTGGAATATGGGCCTGTGTCAGGGTACAGCAACTATAGCTGGAATCTATTTCTCTACAAGAAACTCCTCCCATAGTGAATGTTAACAGCTTTTCTGCCCAGCTCCCTGGGAGAATCACAGGGACCAGCTTCCCTGAGGCCTGAGCCAGCTGCTGTGGTTTAGGATTCACTATAGGTGGCATGCAGTGACTCTAATCATCAAGGGCCCCTATGAACCCCATGCGCTTTCAATTGCAGTACAAAGGGAAGAACACCTACCTGGAGAAGATCGATGGCTTCCGAGCCTATTACAAGCAGTGGCTGAAAGTGATGCCGGCAGAGGAAACCCCCCACCCCTGGCAGAAGTTCCGGACCAAGCCCAAGAACCGAGAACCCATCAGGGAGGCTGATGTGGATGGAGACCTTGGAGGCAGGTGATGGGGAACTCAGCTGTAACAATGTGCCAGGCTCTCAGTGTTTTCTGGGAGCCTCAGGCATCCCTCCCATAGTAAAGATAAGTGAACATGTTGGTGTCACTCACTCATGAAGGAAAGGCTAGGCCCAGAAGAGCTGCAGCACCTCACAGGTGTTGGTGTGAGGACACACGCTGGACCAGAGTGCATGTTCATAGCAGCCCCAGCAGCAGCCCCAGCCACCTTCCCAGGTCACCTCAGGTCATCCTCTTCTAAGAGGCTCATGTGTGCTCATGGTCACAAAGTACCACAGGGGGGAGCCAGGACAGAGTCCACAGGAGCCTCTGGTCCCAGGGCCTGGCGCTTTACATGGAGCTCCAGACCTCTGTTCTGAAAGGACAGACACAGGGCCAGGAGGTTGAAAGGTTTTATTTTTACAAAATCACAGCCGATGGATAGTAAAGCCTTCACCTCTGGAGACCATGCTCCAGCTTGGGTCTGGGGCGCCACTCTGCCAGAAGAGCTGCTCCCAGGAAAAGGGTTGGTGCCACAGGCAGGAACCCTTGGAGTCCAAAGTCCGAGACTTAGCCAGAGCAGCCGCGGCAGCCACAGTGTGTGCACTCGATGATGCGGCCCTGCAACAGAGGATGGCTGAGATGGGGCATCCACCCCCGCTCCACACGCCCCTGCACCCTCGCTCACGGTAATCTCCCACTGAGGACCATGCCAACGGGAGTTCCGTACAGGACATACCCCGGAAACCCTTCCTTGACAGTTCTGGACAGGGAAATTGGCTTCCCCATGAAGATAGAAACTGCTACTGTTGACGCTGCAGTTGCATGTGCATTTAAGGTATACAAATTCAACATGCATACTTGCCAAAAAGAAATCTGCGTGAGTCTTGCTATTCTACTAGGTGAGCTGAGGCGGGCCTGCTACTGCTCAGGGGTCTCAGGGCTGCCTCTGGACCAGGAAGCCTTCTGGGAGGCAAAGGGGCGGAGGGCATGCACTTGAGCCACACCCTCGTGCTCCCAGTGCCCCACCAGAACAGTCAGCAGCAGGAAGAGTCATGTCCCCCCAGGCCAGGTGTGACATGATATCTGGCCCAGGGACTGCTCGGCAGACAGAAGGCCCCAGAAGAGTGGTTTGCGTTGATTTTACTTTTTCAAACTCTTCTGGAGGAAAAAGACCTTAGTGTAAGCAAACAAGTTCCTCTGGTGGAACCCAGCCAAGTCTAAGTCAGGCTGTCTTGGCCACAGGGCTAAGGCGGCAGTACCCCCAACCCTGACACTCCCATGGACTCCTGGGGCTCTCAGAGGAGGGCTTTTGCCATTCCGCCACCCTTCACTGCCTCCCTCAAAAAACCATCATCCAGGGCCTTCCTCAAGGAGGTGTCCCTTGCTCGCTCTCCACCGCCCAACCTGCCCGTCCCTGAGCTTCCACGTGGTGCAGGGAGGCAGAACTACATAGCCAGAGCTCTATAAGTTGGAACTCACTGCGCTGTAATTAGGCCCCTGTGTGAAGTTAGGGACAAGGAGGCCAAGCTGGGAGATCGGCAGCCTGGCCTGAATGATTTTTTTAAATGTAGGTTTACTAATTTATCTAATTAAGAAAGCATTTTTAATTTAAAATAATTATGTTCAAATCACTGGGCCACACAACAGTCTCCCAGCTGGGCCAGCAACTGCCAGGGCGCTGCACTGAATGGCCACTAGTGGGCAACATGCTGTGACTCCTCTGGTTCTACAGCTCTCTTTCAGAGGGGCTTACGCCCCAAGCTCAGCTACTGCCCACTCAGCATCATTCTCAAGGTGCCCAGCCTAGTTTTGGAACAGAAGGTTTTGGCAGAAGAAATACAGTGAGCACTAAAGCGTCACTGTGAGGACTGGAGGGAACCCCTACTGATTCCCCCCGCCCCACCCAATTTCACCCTCCCATCACCTCAGGGTTGGGATCGTCACCACCATTCATAAGTGAGGAAAGGAGTTCCGTAACTGCCCAAAAGAGGAGCGGAGATTGGCTCCCAGACCTAACAAATACAATCCCTGCCACACTCTGCCTACCATGGATTCCTGAACAAAGGAATTCACTCCTGGGAAGGACAGACATTCAGCAACAAAACAACATTCCAGCCCAACCAAAAAATATAAAATCCCTTGAAGATGACTAGGTCAGAATTTTGAACCGAAAATAACATCCAACTTGAGCGCCAGACATTACCACTTCCAGCTTGCTTTTAGGAACCCGGCAGATGCAGTTTGTCCCAAAATTGGTGTCCCGTGTCTGAATGCACCGCAGGCAGCACAAGTTCTCGTACCCTTGCTTTTTCCATTTTGCAATCAGGTTTTTGTCTGCATAGCCTTCTTTAATACAGTATTCATACAGTTCTGTCAAAAAGATGGGGAAAGGACATCAGACCATGATGTGACAAACCTTCCCCCACTGCTAATTAAAAAGACTCTTTAGCCAACATTGGCTCCCCACGTTTTCAGAGGTAAGAAAAATCATGACTCTTGCTGAGGTTGCAAAGATAAGAACTGTTATCAAATAACTGTAAAAGCAACTCAAGTTCAAAAAGCCGAGAGAGAATTAGACCAATTACCTCTGCTGATGGCTTTCCGCTTGTAAAAGAGGTCAAAGATATAGCGAGTTTTCTGGTGGTGGATCCTGAAGATGGGCCACAGAGATTCCACTTTCCTCTTCCCTTCATGAGGTTCTGTTTCAGCTGGGGAGAAAAAAGTGTGTGTATTTGCCTGGGGGCAATAAGGTTAGTCTGCACAGGATGGAGTGTTCTTTTTTTTTTTTGAGTTGGAGTCTCACTCTGTAGCCCAGGCTGGAGTGCTCACAGCTACCCCAGCGTTGACCTGCTGGGCTCTGACGATCCTTCTGTCTCAACCTTCCAAGCAGCCAGAACTATAGGAGTGTGCTAACACACCTGGCTAATTTTTCATTTCATTATAGAGACGAGGTCTCGCCAAGTTGCCCAGGCTGGTCTCGAACCCGCAGGCTCAGGCAGTCCTCTCACCTCAGCCTCCCAAAGTGCTGGGATTACAGGTGTGAGTCACCGAGGCCGGCCTCTTTTCTCAAATAACTCGTGATGATGAGTAAATATCACTTTATATCCACTAGGATGGTTATAATCAAAATGGTGGAATAGCAAGTAACAAGTGTTGGCAAGGATATGGAGAAACTGGAACCCTCAGATACTGCTGATAGGAATGTAAAATGGTACAGCTGTGTGCAGAAAACAGTCTGGCAGTTAAGAAGTTAAACAGAGTCACGATATAACCCAGCAGCAGTTCCAGCCTTAGGAACATGCCAGCAAGAACCAAGAGAACTAAAAACACACATGCACTTACAATCTGAACTGTTTGATCTGGAAGGAAAAAAAGAACACAACACACGTGTGTGTACACAAACTTGTGTATGAATGTCCCTAGAAGCCAAAAGGTAGAAATAGCTCAAATGTCCATCAACTGATGAATGAATGAACAAAATTGGTCTGTGTAAACAATGGAATATTATTCAGCTGCAAAAAAGGGTGAAGTACTGACACATGCTATGACATAGATGAACCCTGAAATGCTGTAAAACTGACTGTGGCAATCATGGCATATATAAAAACCCCTTAATTGGACACTTTAAAAGTTTGGTTCAGCTGGGTTCAATGGCTCAGTCTGTAATCCCGCGCTTTTGGAGGCGGAGTGGATTGCCCGAGCCCAAGGTTCGAGACCCGCCTGGGCAACTTGGCGAGACCCCACCTCTACGATAAATCAAAAAATTAGCTGGGCATGGTAGCGCTTGCCTATAGTTCCAGCTACTTGGAAGGCTGAGGATCGCTGGAGCCCAGCAGGTCGAGGCTACGGTGGCTAGGAGCATGCCACTGCACTCCAGTCTGGGCGATAGAATGAGATTCCAACTCAAAAAAAAAAAAAAAGTTTGGTTTAAAAAAAAAAAAAAACACTCATACAATAACCTCTGTTAACACCCATCCTCTATCCTTTCAGACCTATTTCTACAGCATAACAACTCAATATAATTCTGGGACCACAGATGGGCATCTTACTTTTTTTAAGTCAGAGTCTAACTCTGTCACCCAGGCTGTAGTACAGTGGCACACTCATGGCCACCACGGCCTCCACCTGCTGGGCTCAGGCGATCCTACTGCCTCATCCTTCCAAGTAGCTAGAACTGCAGGTGTGTGCCACCACGCCTGGCTAGTTGTTTTTTTATTGTAGAGATGAGGTCTCGCCAAGTTGTCCAGGCTGGTCTTGAACCCCTGAACTCAGGCAATCCTCTCACTTCAGCTTCCCAAAGTTCTGGGATTACAGGCGTGAGCCACCGTGTCCAGCTGGCAGTCATTTTTAAGGTACCTCTAATGTTTAAGGTATACAGCTGATAGGCTGCCAGCTGTTCCTTCAACATACACAGAATCAGGTGGAACTCACACCTACAAGGCATTCTCTGTCTCTCTTAGGAGTTATGAGTTGATCTTTGTCTACCACCTCCTCTCAGTTTTAGGGCAGAGAAGAAGGGAAGGAATGATCAAGAAAACTATACCTCAACTGGGCGTGGTAGCTCACGCCTGTAATCCCAGCACTTTGGGAGACCGAGGGGAGAGGATTGCTTGAGCCCACAGGTTTGAGACCAGCCTGGGCAACATGGCGAGACCTTGTCTCCACAATAAATCAAAAAATTAGCCAGGTGTGGTAGTGCGCGCTGTTCCAAGTTCCAGCTACTTGGAAGGCTGAGGTGGAAGGATCTCCGTGGCCGGGAGCGGCCACTGCACTCCAGCCTGGGTGACAGAGTGAGACTCCAACTCAAAAAAAAAAAAAAAGAAAACTATACCTCAATTTTTCCAGCTTTTAAACCATTCTATTACCTAGGATTTATAATTCAGGTCAACAAACAGGAATCTGTGATCTGAGCAGAAAGGCAGGTCTTAAGGACTCAGCAAGTGCACACCATGTGTCTGCTGTGGGTGACATCCTACTTTAGGTGCCCAAGACACGGTAGTGGGCAAGACAGAGCAGCTCAGCTCTGGATATCTATCTGGATAGCACTGGAAATCTAAACACATCTCAACATGTCCTGAACTGAAATCCTCACTCACCCACGTCAAAGCTGTATCCCTTCCCAGACCAGATGTCATGGAACCATCCTTGACACCCTTTTCCCTTTAATTCAACAAATCTGGCAATGCTGAGCTACATCCCCACTTAGCCTGCATCCCCAAGAGGTAAAAAGGGCTCTGGGCTCCAGCATCTCCCCATATACCACCTGCTACATCCCCAGAAGTCCCTTTTGTTCCTAACACTGAAACCAAGTGTCCACAGCCACGCATCATCTACACGGGCTGCTATTTTCTTTATTGAGGAAGAACATGAACAAGCAGGTCTTAAACCTGTGAACCAGATCTTAAACCTGAATTTAACAAAAATGAGAAGACAAAGAAATGCTGAAAGGCTATAAGATTAAAGAAAAATAGGAGGCCCGGCACGGTGGCTCATACCTATAATCCCAGCACTTTGGGAAGCTGACGCAGGAGGATTGCCTGAGCCCAGGGGTTCGAGACCAGCCTGGGCAACATGGTGAGACCTCATCTCTACAATAAATCAAAAGATTAGCTGGGCCTGGTGGCACACGTCTGTAGTTCCAGCTACTTGGAAGGCTGAGATAGAAGAATCACTTGAGCCCAGCAGGCTGAGGCTGCGATGGCCATAAGTGTGCCACTGCACGCCAGCCTGGGCAACAGAGTGAGACTCTGACTCAAAACAAACAAAAAGCAAGAAAAGCAGAAGAATACTTTCAGGAAGTAAAGAAGATCACATACATCTAAATACAAGGTGAAGTTCACCTCTCCTCAAAAGTGATCCCTTAAAGGAAGGAGTAGATTTACTTTTTCTTTTTTTTTGTAGAGATGAGATCTTGCCAAGTTGCCCAGTCTGGTCCCAAACCCACGGGCTCAGGTAACTCACTTGCCTCGGTCTCCCAAAGTGCTGGGATTACAGGCTGAGCCATTGAGCCCGGCCAGATTTACTTTCAAGGACTCATAAAATCTATTCCAGCACTCTCAAATTTCCTTTACTCTGATAGAGTTATTTGGGGAGGAAATCCCTCAGTCCACAATGACTGTGATTGCTGCAAGTTCTGGGACACAATCAGTTTTGAAAAAAGGAAGCAAAGTACTTTAACAGTTTATTCTTTATTGCTGGAGATAATGACCTCATGACAATGTCTAGATTAGTTACAAGTATTGAAAAAGTTGCTTTAGCTGGGTATGGTGGCTCATGCCTGTAATCCCAGCACCTTGGGAGGCTGAGGCGAGAGGATTGCCTGAGCACAGGAGTCCAAGACCAGCCTGGGCAACTTGGTAAGACCTTGTCTCTGCAATAATTTTTTAAAAATTAGCCAGGCAGGCCGGGCTCGGTGGCTCAGCCTGTAATCCTGCGCCTTTGGGAGGCTGAGGTGAGGGGATTGCCTGAGCCCGCAGGTTCGAGACCAGCCTGGGCA